AGCCAATGGCAAGTAGAGTCCTAGATTATCAGAGAGGCGCCAACTTGTTCCACTTTCTGATTGGTCGATTAAAATAGCCGCCATGTTAGAATACAAACGTCACACGTACAGCCTGACAGCTGTCAATCAAATGTGGTTGTGTTAATATTAAAAGTTTAAATAAGTGCATATTATAATTTCTTGTTACCACGGTAAGTAGAAATGTCTTATATATGTTATATATGAAGAAATTAAGCTGCACATATTTAAATCATATATATGTATATATGTGTATATACGCACTACTGACGTTTGTGTCTTAAGATGGCGGCGGTGGGCATGGTGGGGTCTTAGAATATATATAAATGGAAGGGGAATACCTTTGTTTCCCGATAGAAAAACATGTCGGAAGGACGTAAGAAAGAAAATCATATGGCGAATACGATTGATGTGCACTCGCTCCGTTTCAGTGGCTAGTAACTTTTTGTTACCAGATGCACATGTTTGGAGCGCGTATACTCTATCCAAAAAGAGAATGATCTCGGTTCGCGCATAATCGGGAAAAGTGGGGAGAACATGGCGAGATACTCAATACCGTATACGTAGATACGGCTCCTTTATTATTATTAATAATTATTAATAATAATAAAGGAGCCGTATCTACGTATACGGTATTGAGTATCTCGCCATGTTCTCCCCACTTTTCCCGATTATGCGCGAACCGAGATCATTCTCTTTTTGGATAGAGTATACGCGCTCCAAACATGTGCATCTGGTAACAAAAAGTTACTAGCCACTGAAACGGAGCGAGTGCACATCAATCGTATTCGCCATATGATTTTCTTTCTTACGTCCTTCCGACATGTTTTTCTATCGGGAAACAAAGGTATTCCCCTTCCATTTATATATATTCTAAGACCCCACCATGCCCACCGCCGCCATCTTAAGACACAAACGTCAGTAGTGCGTATATACACATATATACATATATATGATTTAAATATGTGCAGCTTAATTTCTTCATATATAACATATATAAGACATTTCTACTTACCGTGATAACAAGAAAAGTGCGACGAGGTAAACTGTGCCTAAATTTGATTAGCTGTTATATTGCGCAAATTCACGTCAGTGATATTCGTGTCGTTGGCAGCTGTCAAACATATAATTATCACACATATTTTGACAGTATTTGTCTATATGTTAAAGAAACTTATATATTTGACAGCCGCCAACGGCACGAATATCATTGACGTGAACTTATAACAATATAACAGCCAATCAAATTTAGGCACAATTTACCGTGTCGCACCGTCCCGCAGTGGCTTTGCCCCCGCAATGATATGCTCGGTCCCTATATTTCTATGTCTATGGTAATATATCATACGAAGGAAATAAAAGGCAATCAAAAGCCAGCGCGGTAATTTGTGCGCATATGTTTTATTACAATCAAATTACATTGATATTTTGACTACGTGATAGACAAAATCACAAAAAGCGTATATTTCGGTCTTTTTTTTTTGGACCATCCTCAGCACAATTACAAAGTATATGGAACATATTATATCAAAAATGTGACAGTAATAAAATACGCAGAACAAGAGTGAGTCATCCATGTTCTCAGATGGTAAATGTGTTATATAATGTAATTTCGAGACCGAAAGAGACTGTCCGATAAAATATACTACCCAGACAGCACTATGACATCCTCGGGAAATCCGAAGGACATCCAGGACGGACATTACAGATATCCTGAGGATATCCAAATTTTATCCCGGGATATACTGAGGATGTCCTGAGGAATAGCAAATGACCCAGACAGCACAAAACGTCCTCAGGATCATCCTGAATATGTCCAGGATGGTTCAGGATATTTGTAGGATGTTTTAAGATATTATTATAAATATATTTTATGAAAATTTAATATGCATACATGATTACTTTCGGTTATGTAGGCTATTTAATATAATTTAGAAATTTTAAGTATTGTAATAAGTATTAATGTCCTATAAATGTCCATTGGATAACCCCTGGATGTCTGTAGGATATCTATCAAATTCAATTATTAATATTAAACAAAATTAATGTTAACAATTAATTGCCAGATAACACATGTATGTCCTCTGGAAATCCAAAGGTCATCTAATATAATAGACAGGACAGATATCCTATAGACATCCAGGGGTCTGGGTACATTAAAAAATAACTGGCAATATAATTATACCTAACCCAGCAAACACAGAATATAACTGCTATATAACATGAGAATAATATGTAATATAACGGTTGGTATACCTAATTTATATTGGGATTATATAACTATCTCTTATTTATGCAATATAACACCAGATTATAACTGCTATATAGCATAGGAGTAACACGTAATGTAACATTTGTTATACCTAATTTATATTGGGATTATATAACTATCTTTTTAATTTTGTAAATTAAATTATTTAAATTTACCTATAATATATTTCACATTAATATGTGTTATATTATTACTGTAATTGGTCTTAGTTTTGCCGTCAAACAAACGTCAGAAAATGACGTCTCGTGGATGTGACATATCGACGAGACATTTTCGGGTCTCATGAGATCTAACTTAGGATGTCTAATTGGTCATCTTGTGACCAAAATTTACTGTCATTGTGACGTCAGTTTGCTACTTGAGTGGACTATTACATGACTGTAACAATCATATAACATTTTAGTAACATGTTATATTCATGTTATATAACTGCAATTTTGTATGAGTGGGAAATTACAACTAACGTGAATGTTACATGTAACAAATACGTTATATTACTTGTTACATTCCGTTTTATTATGGCAATGTTACAGTTATGTATCTGTGTTTGCTGGGAACTTGAGTGAGTCACCCATGTTGTACAAAAGGCAAATGTTACACACGGATGTTCGAGACAGAATGTCAAGTCTTTTCATATCGCACGATGCATACAGTAAATATGAATACAAAGGAGTGTTTACAAATAAGACGGCATGATTTTCAAAGTTTTGGTAACTTATCGATCACATCCGTATAAGCATAATATAAACATTCCGTGTCTGTCTGTAAATTAAAGCTATTTTCTTGCCTTTTAATGTATACCATTTCAGAAATTAAGCGCTTTTTAAACAAAGGTTCACTATCCAGAATTTCGACTCCATCCAAATCAAATTCATGATTAAATTCTAATCTATGATCGGTTAAGGGGATCCCAAAGGGTCTGTTTTACCGATAAAAACTTTATTTTGCAAAATCTTTT